TAATAATAATAATAATAATAATAATAATAATAATAATAATAATAATAATAATAATAATAATTCCCCATGGTGTCTTCTCATTCTCTCACTGTTGGGATGAATTGCCTGCAGCTATTGGGTGAGTTCTATCTACTCTAGTGCATTAGAATTAGAATTCTTTTATTGGCCAAGTGTGATTGGACACACGAGGAATTTGTCTTGGTGCAAATACTCTCAGTATACAAAAAAGAAAAGATACATTCATCAAGGTACAATAGAATGTAGAATAGAATAGAGCAGAACAGAATGAGGAATAAGGAACAAGGTTAGGATAGAATAGAAATAGAAATAGAAATAGAAATAGAAATAGAATAGAATAGAATAGAATAGAATAGAATAGAATAGAATAGAATAGAATAGAATAGAATAGTATAGAATAGAATAGAATAGAATTCTTTTATTGGCCAAGTGTGATTGGACACACAAGGAATTTGTCTTGGTGCAAATACTCTCAATATACAAAAAAGAAGATATTTTCATCAAGGTACTATAGAATATAGAATAGAATAGAGCAGAACAGAACAGAATAGAATGAGGAATAAGGAACAAGGATAGAATTGAATTGAATTGAATTGAATTGAATTCTTTTATTGGCCAAGTGTGATTGGGCACACAAGGAATTTGTCTTGGTGCAAATGCTCTCCGTGTCCATAAAAGAAAAGAAACATTCGTCAAGAGTCAAGAATCACAAGGCACAACACTTAATGATAGTCATAGGGTACAATAAGCAAGCAAATCATACTAGGAAACAGTCCATATAAATCGTAAGGATACAAGCGACAAAGTTACAGTCATACAGTCACAAGTGGGAGGGGATGGGTGATAAGGAGGGATGAGAAGATTAATAGTGATAGTAGTGCAGACTTTGTCAATAGTTGGGCAGTGTTGAGGGAATGATTTGTTTAGCAGAGTGATGGCATTTGGGGAAAAAAGGACTAGGGGTGACATGATTGTCATTTTTCAATATATTTGAGGGGCTGTCCCAGATAAAGGTGTGTGTGTGGGGAGTCATCGTTATTTTACAAAACACCTAAAGGCAGGACCAGAAGCGATGGATGGAAACTAATCCAGGAGAGAAGCAACCTTGAATTAAGGAGAAATTTCCTGACAATAACAATTAACCAGTGGAACAACTTGCCACCAGAAGTTGTGGCTGCTCCATCACTGAAGGTTTTTAACAAGAGACTCAACAGACATTTGTCTGGAATGGTAGAGCGTCTCCTGCTTCTGCTTGGGGGGGGGGTTGGACTAGAAGACCTCCAAGGTCCCTCCCAATCATCTCATTCTGTTATTTCTAAGCTCTTTTCCTGAGTCCCTCCGGTAAATTTCTGGAGAGGAGAAGAGAAGTCCAGGGACCAAAGGAAAGGTGAAAACTTCTCCATTTGGTGTGGAGGCACCGAAATTAGAAGTCTTTTTAAAAAATGGAAAACCAATTTGGCTTGGGTGTTTAGCAAGAGGCTAAATAGGATTTGGAAGAGAGGAATAAAGAAACAAAATAAGAGAGAGAGAGAGAAGAATTGTGGCTCGAAGGACAGGAGATAAATTATTTGCTGGAAATTCGAGACCGGTTTAGAAAGTGTGTGTCATTTGTGATGTTGTCCAACATCGCCCTGTAGAACATGGCTGGCTGTCAAGGCAGGCAGACAAGGAAGGGACCAAAATACTCAGTATATACCTTTACTAATTCAGAATAACAGAGTTGGAAGGGACCTTGGAGGTCTTCTAGTCCAACCCTCACAGGAGACCCTATAAATATATACTGTAGGACACTGCACACCAGAACAATTAGACACAAGAATGGTTTTTCCCCAAACGCCATCACTCTGCTAAACAAATAATTCCCTCAACACTGTTCAACTATTTACAAAGTCTGCACTACTATTACTATTAACCTTCTCATCACTTCTTATCGCCCATCCCCTCCCACTTGTGACTGTATGACTGTAACTTTGTCGCTTGCATCCTTACAATTTATATTGACTGTTTCCTAGTATGATTTGATTGCTTATTGTACCCTGTGACTATTATTAAGTGTTGTACCTGATGTTTCTTGACGAATGTCTCTTTTCTTTTATGGACACTGAGAGTATTTGCACCAAAGACAAATTCCTTGTGTGTCCAATCACACTTGGCCAATAAAGAATTCTATTCTATTCTATTCTATTCTATTCTATTCTATTCTATTCTATTCTATTCTATCCATCCTGGACAAGTGACTATCCACTTTCTTCTTAAAAGCTCTCCAGTGATGGAAGCGCCCACAACTTCTGGTGGCAAGCTGTTCCACAGGTTAATTGTCCTCACTGTTAAGAAGTTTCTCCTTAATCCCAGGTTGCTTCTCTCCTGGGTTAGTTTCCACCCATTGCTTCTTGTCCTGCCTTCAGGGGCTTTGGAGAATAGCTTGACCCCCTTCCTCTTCTCTGGGGCAGCCCCTCCAATACCGGAAGACTGCTATCATGCCTCCCCTGGTCCTTCTTTCCTCTAGACCAGCCCTACCCGTTTCCTGCAACCGTTCTTTTCTGCCTCCAGGTCTTGACTAGCCTTCACAAGACCTTTTACGGCGGTGAATCTTGCTTTCCATCCGCAGTTGTAGGTCAGGGGAGCCCCGTTCATTCATCTAGGGCAGGATTGATGTGTGGGTGGAGAGTTTGCAGCGTGTGTGTGTGTGTGTGTGTGTCTGTGTGTAGAGGGATGAGGCCGGGGAAACGGTCCTGACCCCTGCCATTTGAGAAGAACCACAAACACTTTCTCTTAACAAAAAGAGTGGAAAAGAAACCCGAGCGTTTTCTCTACTGGCCATCTGACTCCTTCTTGAGGTTTGGAAAGTGGGTTGATATTCCAGCCTTTGATGGTTGCGCTTTGTCAGGTTTGGGGAGGCTGGTTGATCCCGATGGCTGCTGATGCACTGGAGAACATTGCCTAAATGTGTTATTCTCTCTCTCTCTCTCTTTCCCTCTCTGCCTCTCCTCTCTCTCTCCCTCTCTCTTTCCCTCACTCTCTCTCTCCCTCTCTATCTCTTTCTCTCTCTCTTCCTCTCCCTCCCTCCCTCCCTCCCTATCTCTCCTTCCTTCTCTCCCTCCCTCTCTCTCCCTCTCTCTTTCCCTCTCTCTTTCCCTCGCTGTCTCTCTCTTCCTCTCCCTCCTTCCCTCCCTCTCTGTCTGTCTCTGTCTCTCTTCCTTTCCCTCCCTTCCTCTCTCTCCCTTTCCCTCTCTGTCTCTCTCTCCCTCTCTCTCTCCCTCCCCCCTCTGTCTCTCTCCCTCTCTCTCTTTCTCTCCCTCCCTCCCTCCCTATCTCTCCTTCCTTCTCTCCCTCCCCTTCCCTCTCTCTCTCTCTCTCTCCCTCCCTCCCTTCCTCTCTCTCCCTCTCCCTCTCCCTCTCTGTCCTTTTCTCTCTGTCTCTCCCTCCCTATCTCTCCTTCCTTCTCTCCCTCCCTCTCTCTCTCCCTTTCCCTCTCTCCCTCTCTCTCCTTCTCTCTTTCCCTCTCTGCCTCTCCTCTCTCTCTCTTTCCCTCGCTGTCTCTCTCCCTCCCACCTCTTTCTCTCTCCCTTTCTCTCCCTCCCTCCCTCCCTCCCTCCCTCCCTCCCTATCTCTCCTTCCTTCTCTCCCTCCCTCTCCCTCTCTCTCTCTCTATCTGTCTCCCTTCCTCTCCCTCCCTCTCCCTCTCTGTCTCTGTCCTTTTCTCTCTGTCTCTCCCTCCCTCCCTCCCTCCCTCCCTCTCTTTCCCCTTCCCTCCCTTCTCTTCCTCCTGCAGATGAAACTCTCGTTTACTTTGGACAAGGAGACAGGGATGCCACAAGGCTGCTACAGCTATCAGTACCGGGACAGCAACAAGTAAGGATCCATCCGCCGGGCTGCATTAACAGAGGGATAGAATCAAGGTCACGCGAAGTGTTAGTACAGCTTCATAAGGCCACGCCTGGAGTATTGTGTCCAGTGTTGGTCACCACGATGTAAGAAAGACGTTGAAACTCTAAGAAAGAGTGCAGAGAAGAGCAACCAAGGCGATTAAGGGACTGCAGGCTAAAACATACGAAGGATGGTTGTAGTCATTGAGTACTTCTCTGGTCTAGTGGGGGGGGAAAAAAAAAAGGACCGGAGGTGACATAATAGCAGCATTCCAATATTTGAGGGGCTGCTGCAAAGAAGATGAAGTCGACCTATTATCCAAAGCCCTTGAAAGCAAGACACGAAGCAACAGATGGAAACTAATCAAGGACAGAAGCAACCTGGAACGAAGGGGAAACTTTCCAACAGGGAGAACAATTAACTAGTTGGTGGGATTCTACCAGTTTCCCTACCGATTCGGCGATCGCACACATCGTGCGCGCGCGGCTTTCCAAACACCAGCTGAGGCTAATCGGCGGAGAGGATCACTGGACACTTTTAAGAAGAGGTTGGAGAGCCACTTCTCTGAATGGGTCTAGGGCAGGGGCGTCCAACCTTGGCAACTTTAAGACTTGTGGACTTCAACTCCCAGAATTCC